AATAAGAGTTTTGTGATAAGGACTTTATTTTTTTGAGACAGGGTCTTTCTATTGCCCAGGATAGCCTCTAACCTCTGGGCTCAGGAGTAGCTGGAATTACAGGCATTAGCTTCTGCATTCAGCTAGAGTAAGAACTTTAAAGTAAAACAAATACTGTCTTTATACAGTTTTCTTTGAAGTAAGGTGATTCAGGGACTACATGCACGTTATAGGGCTTAGCACAGTTCCTGACACTCAGAAGATAATACAGTAAATTTTTGCTAAATGGAATCAGAACTAACATGTGAATTTACTATTCTGTATTTAAACTGAACCCTAAGGCCGGGCGCAGTGGCTCACGCCTGTAATCCTAACACTCTGGGAGGCTGAGGCGGGTGGATTGCTCGAGGTCAAGAGTTTGAAACCAACCTGAGCAAGAGCAAGACCCCGTCTCTACTATAAAATAGAAAGAAATTAATTGGCCAACTAATATATATAGAAAAAATTAGCCGGGCATGGTGGCACATGCCTGTAGTCCCAGCTACTCGGGAGGCTGAGGCAGCAGGATTGCTTAAGCCTAGGAGTTTGAGGTTGCTGTGAGCTAGGCTGACGCCACAGCACTCACTCTAGCCTGGGTAACAAAGCGAGACTCTGTCTCAAAAAAAATAAATAAGTAAACTGAACCCTAAGTTTCTTTTTCCTCCATAAAAATAAATGATTATGCACCTTAAAGTTTTCCACAGTCTTAGCTATTTAAAGTTAGAAATACTAATTCATAAGGAAATGTTTCATAACAATCATTTTGTTTTTATACCAAAGAATTTCATGACCCCAAGAAAGGAAAATTACAGTTGTTCTGCATCACCAAGACATAGGCAGAAATGGATGCATACCAAAGAACATGAAATCAGAACTCGGAAAAATTAGGCATTAAAAAAATATATTAATCAGTTTATCTCCTCTATTCTCTACACATATCACAAAAGGATTTTATCATAGAAATGTCTTACTTAGTAAATAAAATTGCTCTGCAATCCCATTACTCACAAAATGTTAAAATTTACTCTTCATTATAGAGCATTATTAAATTTAGCATTATTGCTAAAATATATAATTCTGTGTTTCAATACAGCCAAACACTTATGAATATATTTCTTTGAATTTGTTGCAATGTGTGCTGTACTCATGATGAAGGTTACCAAAGCTAGGCATCCTACAAGACATTAATTTAAAATTCTTACCCTCATCTCTTAAGGTAAAACGACCCATCTGAGGGAAGTCTTTAAAGGTCTCAAGGCAGATGGTCCCTGCTGTCCTTAAACGAGCAATGCATACTTGATCTTGCTTCACAAAACGGGGTCGAGTCTTACTTTTTTCTCCTGATTTTTTGTCTACCAAGCAGATTAAGGCCTAATCAAGAAAAGAGGATGAGAAGATCAGAATAATGCCAAATACAAGAATCTGTAGGAAGAATAGGAGTACAAATAAAAGTGCATAACTATTACTGATCAAATATTATCAAGATATAAAACAATCTTAAAACCCAAATAAACAAACCAATTATCTTAAAACAAACTCACTGTTATTTCCACTTCCTCAATACAGGTGTGAATATGCAGCACCGCATTATACCCTGGGCAGATGATGGATTTGTGCTCTATAATCACTATCTGTCAAACAAACAAACAAACGTTATCTTTATCCCTAGGGTAAAAAAGAATTGAATATTGTCAAGTGCCATATAGTATCACAAGAATTAGTGTAACTCACCATCTCAGTAGGACACCAACTTAAGTTATTTTTGTGTTAGAGGTGATGGGTCTCATTAATTTTGTTCACAGGATAGATACAGTTACTTAATCTCAAGCATGTATTTCAATATCCTATACCCTACTTATCTTCTTGGCAAGTGCCTGATCAACTTTAAAAACACAGCAGGCAAGCCAGGCCCTGTGGCTCACACCTGTAGTCCTAGCTACTTGGGAGGCTGAGATGGGAGGATCACTTGAGCCCTAGGAGTTCGTTCGAGTCCAGCCTGGGCAACACAGCAAGACCCCATCTCAAAAACAAAAATAAAACAACCACACAAGGAAGCTTTTCCTTTATATTCCCCAAGGAATTAAGCTAATCATTACTGCTCACAAGTTACCCAGATGTAAACTTCCAGCTCTATACTTCCAGCTCTGCTTCTCAATATCCAAAGTCCAGTAAAAGTAAACAGCATTACATCTGGCATCAACATCTAACTTGATTAATCGTCATATCTTTTAACAGAACTCAAAAATTCTGTTAAGCCAGGCGTGGTGGCTCACACCTGTAATCCTAGCACTCTGGGAGGCCGAGGCAGGCGGATTGCTCAAGGTCAGGAGTTCGAAACCACCCTGAGCAAGAGCGAGACCAGTCTCTACTATAAATAGAAACAAATTAATTGGCCAACTAATATATATAGAAAAAATTAGCCGGGCATGGTGGCGCATGCCTGTAGTCCCAGCTACTCAGGAGGCTGAGGCAGGAGGATAGCTTGAGCCAGGAGTTTGAGGTTGCTGTGAGCTAGGATGACGCCATGGCACTCACTCTAGCCTGGGCAACAAAGCGAGACTCTGTCTCAAAAAAAAAAAAAAAATTCTGTTACCTATACCAATCATTTACTGTCATTCTCCCAGGGAGGTCAGACTGCTAATAACAGGGAGAAAACATATAGTTTTTTGTCCAGAAACTTATTTGCTTAGAACAAGCACACAAACCATGACTTCCAAGGCAACTGCACTCTAGTCAAAATAAATATTAGATATAATAAATTTATCAACAGGAGATCAAAAATAAAAAGGAACTTACAAAGAGTACTACTTCCTATCCAGATAGCACTTGTACCATCTTGAAGACCTTATGTATATGAGATACATATATCACAGCTATAATATAAAAATGGTTTATACCATTTCAATTCCCTTTCTACACACCAATATGAGTTAAGTGGAATGTCCTAGTTTCATTTAGACACCAAAAATCACTAAGACCACTACAATAACTTGTTTACCTGGGCATCAAATGTACGTCCAGAATGACAAAGATTATTAATATCACAAAGTATGAATCCAGGAAGAATCTCCTCTTCTTCAATTCCTTTCAGTCTGATTTTGAGGTTTTCACCTGGGGCTACAGTATCAGTCTCTACATCATCAGAAAGTATTCCAAGAACTTCCACGTTGTGCTTTAAGAGAAACCAAAATTGGAGGTTTTCTGACATATTCACTGCATTACAGAATAAAAAATCTGAATACTTGTTCAATAAAGAATTAAAAGTCAAGGCAGGGCATTACAGGCTCACACCTGTAATCCTAGAACTCTAGGAGGCTGAGGCAGAAGGACTGTTTGAGGTCAGGAGTTCCAGACCAGCCTGAGCAAGACTGAGACCCTGTCTCTACTAAAAATAGAAGAATTAGCTGGGTATGGTGGCACGCATCTGTAGTTACAGCTACTTGGGAGGCTGAGGGAGGAGGACTGCTCGGGCCCAGGAGTTTGAGGTTGCTATGATGATACCACTGCATTCTAGCTGGGGCCACGGAGTGAGACTCAATAAATACTTTGGATGAAAGATGCTATGGTAGAATACTGTAATCTCCCATGCATAAGACATCCAAAAACCCAATGTCCAATTCCTAAGGTACCAATTATACTTATACATTACATTGACAATGGAAACCTTTTCTAATTCACTGGGCTTGGAATGAGCATGGTAAGTAAATTCTCATATCCGAAGGGCCTGATAATTCATGTCTATGTTCCTACATAAGCAACATTTTTCGAGCTGTTAGAGAAGCCCTCTCTGGAAAACCAGTAACAGTTTCTTAGCAATAGGTTATGTGCAAATATCAGGAATTGAGCAATCAGAAATAACACAAGGGGCCAGGCACAGTACAGTGCCTAACACCTGTAATCCTAGTACTTTGAGAGGATGAGGCGGGAGGATCGCTCAAGGTCAGGAGTTCCAGACCAGCCTGAGCAAGACCGAGACCCGTCTCTACTATAAATAGAAAGAAATTAATTGGCCAACTAAAAATATATAGAAAAAATTAGCCGGGCACGGTGGTTCATGCCTGTAGTCCCAGCTACTCGGGAGGCTGAGGCAGGAGGATTGCTTAAGCCCAGGAGTTTGAGGTTGCTGTGAGCTAAGCTGACGCCACGGCACTCTAGTCCGGGCAATAGAGTGAGACTCTGTCTCAAAAAAAAGAAAGAAATAACACAAGGTAATGGTGATTCTGATTCATGGTGATTCTGCATGTTTTAATGAAATTAATGGTCAAAAAATTATAAGACAGAGTTAAGACCCATTTAGGATAAAGGCAAACTCTCTGCTTTCTAAATAAATCAAGAGCATAGCTTAGACTCATTATTTTGTAGTATCCAACCTAACTATACATACACACATACCACTTACTACATCATGATTAAAACGATTTAATCATGGCCGGCTCTTACTGTTAACTGAAGCAAGTCACTTTACCATTCCAAATCTCTATTTACTTGCCTATAAAAAAAGGGGTTAGTGGTCTCTTCATGATGCATCTTTTACCTCTTAACGTGGTGTTAAGACCCCTTTATTTGTCATTGAATAATAATAGCACCATACATTCTTTTCTTCTGAGACAGAGTCTCACTCTGTTTCCTGGGCTAGAGTGCTGTGGCGTCAGCCTAGCTCATGGCAATCTCAAACTCCTGGGCTCAAGCAATCCTTCTGCCTCAGCCTCCCAAGTAGCTGGGACTACAGGCATGCGCCACCATGCCCAGCTAATTTTTTCTATATTTTTAGGGCCAATTAATTCCCTTCTATTTTTAGTAGTGACGGGGTCTTGCTCTTGCTTAGGCTGGTTTACAACTCCTGACCTTGAGCAATGTGACTGCCTTGGCCTCCCAGAGTGCTAGGACTACAGCCGTGAGCCACCGCTTAAGTTTCTTTTAATTCTTTTAAGTTTCTTTTAATTCTTTTAAGTTTCTTAAGTTTCTTTTAAGGAAATCCCTGTGCTTTTACAAAGTTCTGGCTCTTTGCTACTATTTTCAAGAGAAAATCTAAAAGGGAAAGCGCATATAACTAATTCTTACCTTGTTTGGCATCATCACGAGCTGCTGGCCTTTACAAATAGATCCTGATTCCAGCTTTCCCAGGACCACTGTGCCCATGTCCTGTTGAAATTTAACATAAAAAAATCAAGTTTAAGAGTTTTGTTGCTGCTCTATAGCAGCTCAACAGCCCAGAGTGAAATTCTATGGGGCTTATTCAGAAAGGAAAATCATTAGCTCAGTGGTAGAATGGTTGGAATTAATCATGGAGCCTAACAGCCGACTTAAATATAGGGGAATTAACACTCTATAAAAGTTTGTCATAAGCATCTGTAAGCATATCTGTATAATTATATATTAATGATTAAATATGCCTAAGATTTTAAAGGAAAGTTTGGTGCAGAAAACACAGAATTTTACATTGTAAGATCTGAAATGTTTGTAAAATTCACATTCTCCTGATCTCTGATCCTGTTTCCTAAGGTGTAAAATTGGAAAAACAATACTTGTTAATCTTAGAATGAAGTTAATGAAGGACTAAAGTATTGGAAGGGGCGGAAACATTACATAAATTGATACTGCAAAACTTAAAAAAAAAAAAAGCTGAAAATCCAGTTAAACACAATGAAGTCTTTTTTTTTCTTTTTAAGACCAACATCAAGTGTTGGTGAAGCTATGGTAAAACTAATACCCACATGCTGCTGGTGGTAATATACGTTAGCACAGTATGTTTGAAAGGCTACTTAGAATCCATCAACTTTTATATGAAAATCCTTTAAACCCAGCAGTTTCATTTGTATGGGTTTATCACTAAGAAATGACCAGTGGCTCATTGGGAAACAGCAGCTGATAAATTTGCTGAATAAATTATAGCCTATCTAAACCACTAATATGCAGACATTATAAAAAAAGACATCTTTGTTATGTTGTTAATAAAGTTGTTTCATAATTAGAAACAAAACACAAAACAATGATCTCACCCCCATAAAACCCAATTTCTTTAACATTAGGGTACCTTGTACTTATCCACAATTGGCAGCCTGATTGGTCCATCAACTGATCTATTGAAGTTTGGCAAATTATCCAGATATGGAATAAATGGTAATCCGCTGAGAATATAACAATATCCATTTTAAAAAGTCAACATAAATATCAAAATTGTTAAAGAAGTCACAAAAGTGTAACTTTAAACAAAAAACATGGTTATAACAATATTTCCATTCTACCTATGTACCTTTATCATTTAACCAATTTATTATCCATTTCATCTCAGCTTGGTATAAGGCTTCCTCATAAACGTATTAAGATTTAGAAAAATATGTCATAGAAGTAGCTCACATGTTGTAATCATATATTCCATTAATAAATCTTTATGGACTTTTCCAGCTCTGAAACCAAGATTCCGCAAGATAATTTCCCCTTTAAAACTACACTGTTGGCGGGGCGCGGTGGCTCACGCCTGTAATCCTAGCACTCTGGGAGGCCAAGACTGGCAGATCGCTCAAGGTCAGGAGTTTGAGACCATTCTGAACAACAGCAAGACCCCGTCTCTACTAAGAAATGGAAAGAAATTAACTGGACAACTAAAAATATATATAAAAAATTAGCCGGGCATGATGACGCATGCCTGTAGTCCCAGCTACTCGGGAGGGTAAGGCAGGAAGATTGCTTAAGCCAAGGAGTTTGAGGTTGCTGTGAGGTAGGCTGATGCCATGGCACTCTAACCAGAGCAACAGAGTGAGACCCTGTCTCAAAAAAAAAACAAAAACAAAAACAAACTACACTGTTTGATTGGGAGACCTATTATTTTCAAAATGTCTATGCTCCCCAAATTGATCTACAGAGTCAATGCATTATTAAAATCCCAACTGCCTATTTTGCAGAAATTACAAGCTGATCCTAATGTTCATATGGAAATTTAAGGGACTGAAAATAGCCAAAACAACCTTGAAAAAGAATGGAACCGAAGACTACACTTCATTATTTCCAAACCTCAAAGCTTCTGTAATCAAGGCGATGTTATACTAGCCCAGGACAGACATATAGATTTATAGAAGAGAACTGAACAGTCCAGAAATAAACTCTTACATTTGTGGTCATTTGATTTTCAATGAAGGTGCCAATCCAATTCAATGGAAAAAGAATAGTCTTCTCAACAAATTGTGCCCAACAACTGGACATCCATATGCAAAAATAAAATGAACCTAGACACCTACCTTATACCTTACACAAAAATCTACTCAAAACAAAACATACACCTAAATGTAAAAGCTAAAACTATAACACACTTAGAAGAAAACACGGGGCCAAATCTTCATGACTTTGCATCAGGTTATGTTTTCTTAGGTATGACACCAAACTATCAACCAAAGGGGAAAAATAGATAAATTGGACTTCATCAAAATTAAAACCTCTTATGCCTCAAAGGACATGATCAAGGCCAGGCGCAATGGCTCATGCCTGTAATCCTAGCACTTTGGGAGGCCGAGGTGGGCAGATCGCTTGAGGTCAGGAGTTCGAAACCAGCCAGAGCAAGATCGAGACCCCATCTCTACTATAAATAGAAAGAAATTAATTGGCCAACTAATATATATTGAAAAAATTAGCCGGGCATGGTGGCACATGCCTATAGTCCCAGCTACTTGGGAGGTTGAGGCAGCAGGATTGCTTGAGCCCAGGAGTTTGAGATTGCTGTGAGCTAGGCTGACGCCACGGCACTCACTCTAGCAAGGGCAACAAAGCGAGACTCTGTCTCAAAAAAAAAAAACAAACACAAAAAACAAAACAAAAGAACACAGACAAATAAAAAAAAGAAAGAAATTAATTGGCCAACTAATATATATAGAAAAAATTAGCCAGGCATGGTGGCGCATGCCTGTAGTCCCAGCTACTAGGGAGGCTGAAGCAGCAGGATTGCTTGAGCCCAGGAGTTTGAGGTTGCTGTGAGCTCAGCTGATGCCACTCTAGTCTGGGCAACAAAGCACTCTAGTCTGGGCAACAAAGCGAGACTCTGTCTCAAAAAAAAAAAAAAGAATGTGAAAAGGGCAATCCATGGAATGAGAGAAAATATTTGCTAATCATGTATCTGATGAGGGGCTTGCATCCTGTACAAAAAGAACTCTTATAACTCAGTAACAAAAAGACAACCCAGTTTAAAAGGGGCAAAGTTCTTGCTACTTTTAAAGCCAAGGTTACTGTCAAAATTTTCTTAAATTACTTACAAAGAGATTTTTCTTTTTAAGAAAGAAAAGGTTACTTACATGTACCAAGGGCAGAACTCTGATTGCTCTTTGAGATTTGCTCCAGTCAGTCCTGAGCAGGGCATAAAGTGAATGTCCTTTTTGGGATTGAAGCCAACTTTTTTCAAAAATGGCACCAGTTTCTCTTTACATTCTTCATATCTATGAATATTTATAAATAACTCAATTATAATGTAAACCAAACAGACTCTAGTTTCATGAGTAAAGAAATTAAGGTTTAGAAAAACCCTAAAGAGGCCGGGTGCGGTGGCTCTAGTGCTAGAGTAATCCTAGCACTCTGGGAGGCCGAGTCGAGAGGATCGCTCAAGGTCAGGAATTCAAGACCAGCCTGAGCAAGAGCGAGACCCTGTCTCTACTAAAAATAGATAGAAATTATCTGGACAACTAAAAATATATATAGAAAAAATTAGCCAGGCATGGTGGGATATGCCTGTAGTCCCAGCTACTTGGGAGACTGAGGCAGAAGGATTGCTTGAGCCCAGGAGTTTGAGGTTGCTGTGAGCTAGGCTGACACCACTGCATTCTAGCCTGGGGAACAGAGCCACACTATGTCTCAAAAGAAAAAGAAGAAGAAAAACCCTAGAGAAAAGGCATACAATAACAAAATCATCCTTAATTCCACTCACATGTCTATAAAATAACAGTAATACATCTAAGCCTACCTCTCATTGCTCCAATTTACTGTTGGATCATCCATCTTATTAATGAGCACAATTAAGTGTTTTACACCTGCTGTCTTTGCCAACATTGCATGTTCTCTTGTCTGTCCTCCTTTTTCAAATCCAGTTTCAAACTCTCCTTTCCTGGCTGAGATTACCTAATTCCAAGCAATGAAATAGGTTACTCTTACATATTGGATCTATCCTTCTAGCAGTAAAACATCTTTTCTTTCAGTTATATCACAAGTTTTTTGCAAGAAAATAGAAGCAACCGAGTTACGATGTATATGCTTCTGAATGTCACAAATCAAACAATGTCTAGTTGGTTTAAGATTGTGGAAAGTTTCTTTCAACACCCCAAATTCCCAAAATCTAGGATGCCTATATATTTTATAATTGAAATATTTTCTGGCCAGTATAACTACAAAAAAAAAAAAAGGTTTATGTAATCCAGTGCCAGTACATTGTCAAAATCACAAAATGACTGAAGGCCTTAAGAAACAGATCGTTTGTTACTCATTTTTTACCCACTGTGCCTATCAGTGGCCTTGGCATTTGATAGACACTAAGTTCTGACACACTTATAGATAATAACAATGGGAGAGAAAAAGTGAACCATATTTTCAGAAGTAAATCAAATTATAAAGATTTCATGAGCAGATTGTGACAAAATGCAAGTTGTGACTGTGTACACCAATATAATTCACTTCAACCTAAATTCAAATACTGAAGAGATAAGCTGGACTGCTAACAAGTACACAGATGGATTGGAAATGTCCTTACCAGCACAGCCAAATCAGCTTGAGAGGCACCACCAATCATATTTGGGACAAAACTCTTGTGGCCGGGGGCATCTAGAATTGTGAAATGCTTCTTTTCGGTTTCAAAATAGGCACGACCCACTTCTACTGTTTTACCCTTGTCTCGTTCTTCCTGATTTGTATCTAAGGCCCAAGACAAGTACCTGAAATAATTTTTAAAATAAGAATAATACTGCTAAGAACATAAGAGTTTTTAAGATGTTCTTCTACCATTAAAGGTATAACTGGTAACATCCAGCTTTATATCCATCATACACAATCTAAATCATGAACAGGATTAGTGAAATGAAAATTAAAAGAATAAAACTTGTATTACTGTGATTCAAACACTTGGAGCTTTTATATATATCTATAGTAAATTATAACCCAATATAAGCAAATATTATGACAAGCTGACAGCATACACAGAAATTCTACTTAGTAGTAATTCCAATATCACTGTGAATTAAGTAATAATGAGCTCCTTTATATTTCATTTTTACAATCATCTGGCACAAAAGATAACACAAATAGCTGTCTATGGATATTTTTCCAAAGTGAAGGCTGCTAACCCACCATGTGGGAGCACTGGTTACTCGCTAAAAATTACTTCAATATTACTTGACAAGTAAAAAATTATAAATAAGTTCAAACCATCTATTAATAGTAGACATTAATTTCATCCATATTTCACACAGTATACTCCATTTTTTACTATAACATTTACTAGGATCTTTTCTCCCTTAATATAGGATAATACAATTTTATTTTTAGAAAATGACTGTCAAAGTCCCATTGAGATAAGGCTTGCTAACTTTTTAAAAATAAAATGAGGCCGGGCGCAGCAGCTCACGCCTGTAATCCTAGCACTTTCGGAGGCCGAGGCAAGTGGATTGCTCGAGGTCAGGAGTTCAAAACCAGCCTGAGCAAGAGCGAGACCCCGTCTCTACTATAAATAGAAAGAAATTCATTTACCAACTAATACATATACAAAAAATTAGCCGGGCATGGTGGCGCATGCTTGTAGTCCCAGCTACTCGGGAGGCTGAGGGAGGAGGATTGCCTGAGCCCATGAGTTTGAGGTTGCTGTGAGCTAGGCTGACACCAAGGCACTTACTCTAGCCTGGGCAACAAAGTGAGACTCTGTCTCAAAAAAAATAAATAAATAAACTGAACCCTAAGTTTTTTCTTCCTCCATAAAAATAAATGACTATGAACTATAAAGTTTTCACTTTAAGTGTTGTATCTAGGCTGATGCCACAGCACTCTAGCCAGGGCAACAGAGTGAAACTCTGTCTCAAAAAAAAAAAAAAAAAAAAAGAAAGCAGAAAAAAGACCCTTATTTTCTCATCATCAAAAGGCAACCACTGTCAATAATTCCTTCCATTCTTTTTTCTTTTCAGCATTTATTTACACAATGGTCATATCCTAACTATAATTATGTTTCTGCTTTCTCCCCAAATACCATTGTAACATAAGTCCTATTGCTGGCTATTATAAATTCTATAAATGTAATGTTTAAATGGTTATATGACCTAATAAAATGGATGGTTTATAATTTCTTCAACAAGTCTATTACCAGATGTTTGGATCGTTTCCAAATTTCCTCTAAGTCATTATATCATTAGGAACTGATCTACTGTGTATTATGAGGGGGAAGCAAAACTTGTCTTTATTATGATACCATTTTAGACCTCAAGAATTTACATTTTAGTAGACTATAAAAGCATTAAGTGGGCTTCATTTCTTTAAAAGTAATTTATAGTGTCATGAAAGTTTACTATACCAAGTTTCTCTGTTTTTTTCTTTAGCTTCTCTTTCATACTTTTCAAGTGTCCTTTTGTCAACCATTCCAGTCAAATACCTGAAAACATTCAAAGAAAAAAATAAGTAAACAATTACTCACAAAGTACTCAGTGTAGTCAGGAAAACTTTAAAGCTCTTGAGGAGAATTTCAACTCCAGAAAACAGCTACTTTAAAGTAAATGCACCACTGGTGAATGCTAAAATTGTGGAGAGTTTAAGTGGAAAAATGATATTTGCACAGTCTCAAATTACCAGATAAAGCAAAGAAATAACTTTATAGTAGTAGAGAATCCTGACAGACAACACCTTAACCAAGTAATCATGGCTAACATTACCAGTAATAGGTAAAAACATATTGAATTAGTAAAACAGGACTGACATCAAGGACCCCCAGAATGATGCACTGAAAATAACCCAACGTATCTTCTGTGAAGCTATTGTCCAAAATGCAGAATCTCATCCAATTGTGAGAAAACATTAGTCAAACCAAAATTGAAGAATAGCACTTTTAACCTACTAAAGTCATGAAAGATAAGGAAAGTTTGAGGAAATGTCACAGATTGGAGGAAACTAAGGAACTAAACTAACTAAATGCAATGTGGAAGGCTGGGCACACCTATAATCCTAGCACTCTGAGAGGCCGAGGCAGGTGGATCACTCTAGGTCATGAGTTCAGTACCAGTCTGAGCAAGAGTGAGACCACGTCTCTACTAAAAATAGAAGGAAATTAATTGGCCAAGTAATATATATAGAAAAAATTAGCCAGGCATGGTGGCACATGCCTATAGTCCCAGCTATTCGGGAGGCTGAGGCAGAAGGATCGCTTGAGCCCAGGAGTTTGAGGTTGCTGTGAGCTAGGCTGAAACCATGGCACTCACTCTAGCCTGGGCAACAAAGCTACACTCTGTCTCAAAACAAACAGAAAAACAAACAACAAAAACAACAACAAAAATTTAGGACCTGGCCAGCTCACGCCTATAATCCTAGCACTCAGGGAGGCTGAGGCAGGTGGATAGCTCAAGGTCAGGAGTTCAAAACCAGCCAGAGCAAGAGCAAGACCCTGTCTCTACTAAAAAAAATAGAAAGATGAGACAATAAGAGAAGTTACAGGAAGAAATAAAAAGAAATAAAATGTGATTCAAATTAATTAAAATTTTAAAAAAATAGAAAGAAATTAATTGGCCAACTAAAAACATATAGAAAAAAATTAGCCGGGCATGATGTCATATGTCTGTAGTCCCAGCTACTTGGTAGGCTGAGGCAGTAGGATCGCCTGAGTTTGAGGTTGCTGTGAGCTAGGCTGACGCCATGGCACTCTAGCCAGGGCAACAGAGTGAGACTCTGTCTTAAAAAAAAAAAAAAAAAATAGGACCTTTTAATTATAAAAGATTCATCAACACTAGAGTGCATTACTCAAGGCCAGCCATGGTGATTTCATACCTAGGTAGCTTCTATAATATGACAAAAAATTACTTTAGCATGTCAGCCAGACTATTTGCCTTTTGTTAAATTCACATAATTTTAAGGAGCTGATGAATGAGGAAAGAACAGTTCCAGATTCACCAGATTCAAGAGCTGGTTTTCATTATTCCCAAGTAAATTATATTCAAAGAAGACCAAGATTTCCCATAAAGTAGGGTCTGTATTCATTTTTATTTAAAAAAAGAAACAAACGTTCAGAAACACATTTAATCAATGATCCGTGAGAGTCTGGTGGCTCATGCCTGTAATCCCAGCACTTTGGGAGGCTGAGGTGGGAGGATTACTTGAGGCCAGGAGCTGGAGACCAGCCTGGATAACATGGTGAAGACCCTGCCTCTTAAAATAATTTTTTTCTTAACTTATGCAGGAGGCACTGTTTTATCCCCTTTGTATGACTGAATGAATGTTTACAATACCTAAAATTCATTCAATCAAATTAACTCTATTATTTAACAAAAGATACAGACTTACATTATTTGTCCTCCAATGGTTGACTTGCCAGCATCTAAAAGTAACATCAACATGCAAGCCATAGGTTAAATACAAAAACCAACAGCTACATATGCAAACACAACTAAGAACATCCTTTAGCATATATAATTAAATCTTGCAAAAGCAACTAAACTGTAATAGGAATTTGGGGTATAAACTCTAGTTAGTATCCTCTCCTTTGGAAAAGGAGGCTGCCAAGACTCCCCATAGCTCAATGACTTAGAAACACTTTACTGTCAAAGAAGAAAAGAATTTCTGAACAGATTGCTCCCTGACCTTCCGCTATCAAGCACAGCAGCACCAAATATAAATTACCCAAGGGATCTTTGGAGGGGAGCAAAAGTATCTAGACAGCTGTGAACTACATACAGGTAGTCACTGTTAACAAATAGGGTACATGTTCCTTTATAAATTCCAAGCGGGTTCTTGCTACTAAAAAAGGAATATAGTGTTCCACATTTGGGGGAAGGCAGAGATAGAAGAAATAAAAGGCACATAATTCTACATTTTCTTCTATCAATTTTGGGTATAGGTCGGATAATTAGAAAATACCTGAGTAAATTAAATAGGTTTTTTGCCAAACCAGCAACCTGGCAAGCACTCAGAAGTTACTCCAAGTTATTAATTTCTTACTTCACATAAAAATAAACTACCTAGTAAGGTTAATTAATTAATAAGTAACACAAGTTCACATAAAAAAGGCACATTGCGTTCTAAGATATTGATATACTATGCTGAACCATCATCAGGGACCTATAGACATTATATACATGTATAAGCATACATACATGTATATATATTTCATACAAATATACTGAAGCTTATTTTCTTCCAACTTCTATGTCATTACAAAATTGTTCATTTGTCCAAACTTCAAGAACAAAGTACTTGGGCCCATTGCAGTGGCTCATGCCTGTAATCCTAGCACTCTGGGAGGCCGAGGCAGGTGGATTGCTCAAGGTCAGGAGTTCAAAACCAGCCTGAGCAAGAGCAAGGCCCTGTCTCTACTAAAAATAGAAAAAATCAGCCAGGTGTAGTGGCTCACACCTGTAGTCCCAGCTACTGGAAGGTTTAGGCAGGAGAATCGCTTAAGCCTAGGAGTGTGAGGTTGCTGTGAGCTAGGCTGATGCCAGGGCACTCTACCCCAGGCAACAAAGAGAGATTGTCTCAAAAAAAAAAAAAAAAGCACAAAAGCACTTGCAATGTTTTACCAGCTAAAAAATAATGTAGCAAATTAAAAATCAAGGCATTTTAAATTAATTCAGTTCAGTAATCCTAGCACTCTGGGAGGCCCAGGCGGGTGGATCACGCAAGGTGAGGAGTTCAAAACCAGCACAAGCAAAAGCGAGACTCCATCTCTACTAAAAAAAATAGAACAAAATTAATTGGCCAACTAAAAATATACAGAAAAAATTAGCTGAGCATGGTGGTGCATGCCTGTAGTCCCAGCTACTCAGGAGGCTGAGGCAGAAGGATTACTTGAGCCCAGGAGTTTAAGGTTGCTGTGAGCTAGGCTGACGCCACTGCACTCTAGCCCAGGCAACAGAGTGAGACTCTGTCTCAAAAAAAAAAAAAAAAAATTAATTAATACATTAATTAGTTCAGTTCAGTTTCATCAACCATCTCCAAATAGCTAAAGAAGTTCTATTTGTCAACCTCACTAGTATTGACATTTTGGGCAAAGAAACACAAAAATAAAAAAAGAAAAGAAAGTAAATAAAATTTAAATGTATATAAAAAAAAAGAAGTTCTATTTGATGTATCCAGTAACTTTGGTCATTTCTTATAATGGCCGGGTGCTACTTACCTACATGCCCAATGAATACTACATTTACATGTTCTTTTTTAGGAGCACCTGGTGGTGCAACCACAGATTTAGGTTTTGGTATTTCCTCTTCCTCCTCCATCATTTCATGGGCACTTTCCTCTGGTGGCCTTCCATCTCCCAAGGAACCACCCCCAGGCTCTACTTCACTTATTTCTTCTTTGTGCTCCCATGATTCTTCTGGGGACATTTCTGTCTCTCCATTTTCTACTGAAGTAAGAAATTTGAACTTAATATTCTGAAAAAGACTTATAATCAATATTTTTAAAATACACAAGCTTTAAAACAACAATTGGAACTTTGCATATATAGTTCCAGTTCCTAATGTCCAGTGACAAATAAGCAGGAAAATCTCTTTCACAACAGAAATGGGTAATAGCCATCAGGCTGGCCCCACTGCTAGTACTGGATCAGAAAGCTCTGACTCAAAGACTATGCGAGATTGCTATTTTAGCAAAGCTTCATTTTCATAAGGACTAGCAAAATGTAAACGAGATCTAACATTCCCAACAGCCCAGTTATTGCAGTGTCAGGATTCCCTGACAGTCGGGAGTGGGGAGGAAGTCAAGTCTAAAATCAGAACACAGAAAAGGTGTAAAAGGATTTAGAAGGTATTTTCCTTTTCCTCTTTAAGTAATAAAACTTTGGTATCAACTTTAATAACCATTTTGTGAACGTGAAACCCTTAAGAATAAAGTTACAAAAAGGAAGGAAATTTTTCACAAAGTAAATAGGAACAAGTATTTAAGTTGACTTTAGCATTCCTCCACTCAATTCTATTTGTAATCACTAAGTTTACCAAGGCAGTGTCAATGCCCAATTAGTTCTGCTTTCTAAATACTAATAGCAAAGACTCAATGTGTCTTAAATGTAGGCATTACAATAATCACAACACTTACATTTGCACCTTAAATCTTGAGAGTGAAAGAGTTTCATATTACTGTATTAATATGGTCAGAAATTTTCTTACCAACAGGTTCTGAAAGTTCCATGCTAACGGCTGAATTTGAACCTAGACAAGAGATTGATATAATATATATTTACAAAACAATACCTAGCTCTACAAACCATAGACAACTTAATGTTTTCACAATTAGACTTTCAAAGAGTGTATCATAAAAAATTACCTTCACACAACGAATGTTCCTCTTGAGAGGATTCCACAGGTGCTGTTTAATAGAAATAAGTTCTATTAAAAATTGAGACTCATATAGCTGTTTCACTTTTAGTATACAGTAAAAAACAGAAATTCAATAACACACTAGCCTCAATAATTTAGATAGATGGCAGCTAACTCAGTTCTTCAAATTAGAAGTCTCTTTTTAACCTACTTTTCAAAATTCTACCAGTTACAGCTGATGTTAAAACATTTTCAGTAATTAAAATGTATTCATAAAAGCCTGCTTATTCTCTTATTTGCTGTATAAATCTTTTCTTCATAATCTACAGCCCAGCCCAGATCAAGCTAGTGAGATTTTGCTCAATACTCATCTACTTTCCTAGATTCTCTCTTGATAACTCTCTAGCCCAAAAAGGCTATGATTAAGCTCTATATAAAAATCCAGTCATATATGTTATCAAGATCTCTGAATAAATTAAATTTGATACCAATAAGATAAATGGCATTTGTATAAAGTCCTGAAACACATAAAAGGCCCTTAAAACACCTGCAAAGAAGGTGATTCCAATGATGCCGGTTTTGTCCTATACTAGAACTCTAAGATGAACCAACAATCCACCTTCCACAGCTATCACACTGCAAATCTACTAATGACATCACTGGAAGAGACGTAAGAGAAATACATACTAACACTCAAATATATAAGTCTGTTTTTTATACCTGAGTAAACCTAAATGATACTCCAGTAAGAAAAGGCCCTTGTTTCTTCAAGATATAGAAAGATACCAAAGAGTTTGAAGTCCCATGAATCATGCACAGTAAGTAATAAAAAATAGTGAATTTAGGCTGGGTGCAGTGGCTCATGCCTGTAATCCTAGCACTTTGGGAAGCAGAGGCGGAGAGACTGCTTGAACTCAAGAGTTCGAGACCAGCCTGAGCAAGAGCAAGACGCCATCTCTACTATAAACAGAAAGAAATTAGCCAAACAACTAAAAACAGAAAAAATTAGCTAGGCGCAGTGGTACGTGCTTATAGTCCCAGCAATTCGGGAGGCTTAGGCAGGAAGATCGCATGAGCCCAGGAATTTGAGGTTGCTGTGAGCTAAGCTGACGCCACCGCATTCTAGCCCAGGCAACAGAGTGAGACTCTGTTAAAAAAAAAAAAAAAAAAAAGAAGAAGAAAGAAAAGAATAATGAATTTATAACCTACAAAATTCTACTTTAATATCACTACTCAGGCCAGGCGCTGTGGCTCACACATGCAATCCTAGCACTCTGGGAGGCCGAGCAGGTGGATTGCTCAAGGTCAGGAGTTCAAAACCAGCCTGAGCAAGAGCGAGACTCTGTCTCTACTATAAATAAAAAGGAATTAATTGGCCAACTAAACATATATGTACATAAAAAAAATATTACCCAGGCATGGTGGTGCATGCCTGTATACCCAGCTATTTGGGAGGCTGAGGCAGGAGGATCACTTGAGCCCAACAGAGTTTGAGGCTGCTGTGAGCTGATGCCATGGCACTCTAGCCTGGGCAACAAAAGTGAGACTCTGTCTCAAAAAAAATAAAAATAAAAATAAGGCTGGGCACAGTGGCTCACACCTGTAATCCTAGCACTTTGGGAGGCTGAGGCGGGCGGATTGCTCAAGGTCAGGAGTTCAAAACCAGCCTGAGCAAGAGCGAGACCCCGTCTCTACTATAAATAGAAAGAAACTAATTGGCCAACTAATATATATAGAAAAAATTAGCTGGGCATGGTGGCACATGCCTGTAGTCCCAGCTACTTGGGAGGCTGAGGCAGCAGGATTGCTTGAGCCCAGGAGTTTGAGGTTGCTGTGAGCTAGGCTGACGCCACGGCACTCACTCTAGCCTAGGCAACAAAGCGAGACTCTGTCTCAAAAAAAAAATAAAAAAATAAAAAAAAAAATAAAAATAAAATCACTACCCAGAAAGTATTAACACCTATAAGAGTCAAACAAAGGTGTTTTGGGTCCTATCTTCAACAGCATGAAGTGCTAAGGAAAGTAGTTTCCTGTCCCTGATGAGAAAAGGGCAAGCAAGATGGTATGGTGGGGCTTCTCTCAACCACCTGAGACATCTCTAACTGTAACTGAACTTTCCAAACCAAACAGTACTTACACTTGACCACCTAGTTCCTAGCACCCACTCTTAGATTAATAATACAGATGCTCCTCAATTTATGAATTACATCCCAATAAATCCACTGTAAACTGAAAAGTCGAAAATACATTTAATAACACCTAACCTACTGAACATCATAGCTTAGCCTAGCCTACCTTAAACATGCTCAGAACAATCAGCTGGCAACACACTACATGGTAAACTATGAGTAGCTATCAGCCGCTGCCCAGCATCACAAGAAGAGTACCATACTGCTTATTACTAGCCCAGGAAAAGATCAGGATTCAAAGTATGGTTTCTACTAAATGCATATTGCTCTCACACCATCATACAGTTGAAAAAAATCTCAAGTTGAACCATCCTAAGTTGAGGACTATCTGTACACAATACATGCATAAGGTTGTAAGACACTTCTCAAGACAGGTACATCTGTCATGAGACCATCTCCATGGCTGCATAACGCAGCACAATGAAAATCTGTTCACATTTTTTTTATTTTTCAAAACACTCTACAATTTATAACATTTGTCTTAAGACTGTAAAGGTTACAAAGGCAAAGACTGTGTCAAACACCAAAAATAGGCTGGGCGAGGTGTCTCATGCCTGTAATCCTAGCACTCTGGGAGGCCAAGGCAGGCGGATTGAGTTCAAGAGTTCGAGACCAGCCTGAGCAAGAGCAAGACCCTGTCTCTGCTCAAAAAATAGAAAGAAATTAGCTGGACAACTTAAAATATATAGGAAAAATTAGCCGGGCATGGTGGCACATGCCTGTAGTTCCAGCTCCTTGGGAGGCTGAGGCAGGAGGATCGCCTGAGCCAGGAGTTTGAGGTTGCTGTGAGCTAGGCTGACGCCACGGCGCCCTAGCCCAGGCAACAGAGTGAGACTCTGGCTCAAAATAATAACAATAAAAATAAATAAAGACCAAAAACAATGAAGTGCTTAATATGCACATACTAATGATATTAAAGGATCCCGAAATAAGTTAACCATGGTTTCCCATGGTAAAGAAGGCTTTCTAGCAGGGCGCAGTGGCTCACGCCTGTAATCCTAGCACTCTGGGAGGCTGAGGCGGGCGGATTGCTCGAGGTCAGGAGTTCAAAACCAGCCTGAGCAAGAGCGAGACCCCGTCTCTACTATAAATAGAAAGAAACTAATTGGCCAACTAATATATATAGAAAAAATTAGCTGGGCATGGTGGCACATGCCTGTAGTCCCAGCTACTTGGGAGGCTGAGGCAGCAGGATTGCTTGAGCCCAGGAGTTTGAGGTTGCTGTGAGCTAGGCTGACGCCACGGCACTCACTCTAGCCTAGGCAACAAAGCGAGACTCTGTCAAAAAAAAAAAAAAAAAAAAAAAAAAAAAAAAGGCGGCTTTCTATGAAACATTCAGACCATGGATCACATCATATAAAGCTAATGACAATGCCAGTCACATCCATGAACTGATGTTTTTGAAATGAACCAGAAAAATCACATTATACATAGCAAGATAGTCTTTACATTTGAAGTCAATATAATTGTGCCCAGTCTTCACACATGCACAAACAACCCTTATTCATTCTACTCTGGTATTATTCATAATGCCTATGAGATACAGATTTTACCGGCTACTAATGAGCTTGGGCTTAGAATTCTCCTAGGTTCAAAGTCATTTGTTCATGGTTAACAAACAGATGACCGTTAGGGCTTGATTTCTCACATCCTGTATGGCTCACATCTGCCAGTGAAAGATGTTAGAAATTCTCCTGAGGAATGAAATTATGGTTTCAAATTTTTCGGTGGAATCTCCATGTTCAGAAACACATCCTTATCAAGTATTTAAAAATGGAACAACTCTTTTAAGTGGTAAAGTTGTCAGAGTGTATCAACGAATGCAACTGCCATACCCCAAATTAAAAGGAAAAATTAATACTACAGTATATGATAAAGGAAGATTAATGAACTGCCTGTAATATTAGGTACATTATTACAAATTTTAAAACATGAAGATTTTACAAGACAGCCAACCAACAGTACTGCCTATGATTTAACACAGATCTGGATCTCAAAACTGCATCACGGTGATACAACACAAACACAAAAGGTCACATATTGTATTATTCCGTTTATATGAAATATTCATAACAGGTAAATCCATAGAGACAGAAAGCAGACTGGTGGCTGCCAGAAGCTGGAAGGAAGGGGAAATGCTTAATGAATATGGGTTTCCTTTTGGTGTAATAAAAATATTTTGGACAAATATAAGTGCTGGTTGTACAACACACTAGGAATGTACAAATGCCACTGAATTGTTCATTTTTAAATGGTTGATTTTATGCAGATTTAACTTCAATTTTAAAAAAAGGTATACAATTTTTTAAATATCTGAAACATGGATCAAAGGACTTAAACATGGAGAATCCTACTCAGCCAGCTCATCAATACAGCACAAGTTAGTCAAGGTCATATACATGTCAGGTAATAAAAGCTATGTATTGATTCAAAGTACATGTTTTAAACACAAATCTTTGGTTAATTCTTAAAAAGTACTTACTCCATATATTTAATAAATCAGCAATTTAAATTTTTACTGCTTTAGATACAAAACTAATCTTTAACCCTCTTTATACACTAAATATAGCCATACAAAATGTTTAAAATAGCCATCCTAACTAAAATTTTCAGTCTTGTTAGCTAAATGGTGTGTTCATTAAAGAAAAAAACAACTTCAGCGCTGTCACGTTAGTCACAAGTGTCTTACATTGCAATGGAAGTGAGAAACGTGTGAAAAAATTCTGTCCAAGTTGCTGTAGTCATGGAAAAGCTCCATACCTGTGCTGGGATATGACACTCACTAGCCACATACGGCTATTAAGCACTTCAAATGTAGCTATTGTGCCTGAGGAGCTGAATTTTAAATTTTATTTAATTT